TACAGCAGGTAAATCTTTTAAAATATTGACTAAAGATAGGCACATGAACAATACTAATTAAACTATATTTATTAGTATTAGTACTTATGAATACTAATTACAGTGAGACTATTGATAAGAGATTTTCAAAACCTGTAGGAATTACTGTGAACAACTTTATCTTTACTAATTTGAGAACTGAGAATAGTTTCCATGCAGATAGATCATTAAAATGGAATTAAGAATTAGAAATCAAAAAAGCATCCATAACTTGAAAACTTTGACATATTCAACAGGACTCTGATCACCTTCCAGGAAACTTTCCCACTTGTTCAAGGTATTTATTCACAGTTCTCCCCACTTACAGACAAAATTTTTTCAGAACAGAAGAAAACATATAAAAAAAAAAATGTAGTATTGCTAGTATATCCCTCATCTTAGGATATCAAAGAGAAAGCAGTTTGACTTCTGGAATGCGGTGCAAAATGAATCATTAGAATATGCACTATGACTAAAAAGGTTTTACTCTAGTAATGCCTGAATTTTAATATACTGTGGTACTATACACCCGATGATGTGATTACATCTCCATTATGCTAGTAACTTCAGAAAAGCACTTTAAACATTTAAACACTATTATATTTAAACTATAAATGTGTGTTCAGTACATGAGGAGGAAAGTTAATCTGATCTATAGTATCCATCTACAATGAATACAGAACTTTGACAGCCAAATGTCAGAAGCGTTTCTGTTATGATCAGGAGTAAAGAATTGAGAACTGGACCCTGTATATCACCACTTCTACTCAAGATTATACTGTAATTTCGGGCACCCGGATGGCTCAGTCAGTTGAGTGACTCTTGATCTCAGCTCATGTCTTGATCTCAGGGTCATGAGTTCAAGACCTGCACTGGGCTCACTGTTGGGCATGAAGCCTACTTAAAAAAAAAAAAAAAAAAAAGAATATACTGGAATTTGTAGCCATTTATAGCCAGTTGGTCAGAAGTACAAGAGGCCCAGGACTTGTGATTGGCATCTGAAGTGGGGGCAGTGTTGTGAGACTGAGTCGTTAATCTCTGTGGTCTGTGGAAATTCCCAGTTGGCTTCAGAACTGAATTAATTGTAAGACACCCAGTTGGTGTCCAGAGAGCTGGAAATTGGTTGGTGTAGGGAAAACCTCACACGTTTGGTCTCAGAAGTGCTGTGTGAAACAGCTCACCTTATTGTTGATAATTAAAATGATCTTATGTGTGTTGGTTGCTAAATATACATGAAGAGAGGCACCTGGTTGGCTCAGTGGTAGAGCATGCAACTTGAACTCAGGGTGGTGAGTTCAAGCCCCATGTTGGGCACGGAGATTACTTAAAAAAAATAATGAACAAATGAACAAACATGAAGAGAGGAATAGACAGAAATGGTACCAAGGGATTTTCTGATGGTTTGTTCATTTGTCTTCATGAATTTTAATGTTTTTGTTTATCTACTTATTTATTTGAGAGAAATAGAGACTGTAAGGGGTAGAGAGGCAGAGAGAGAGGGACAGAGAATCCCAAGCAGACTCCGTGCTGCCAGCTGCAGAGCCCGACGTGGGGCTCGAACCCACAAACTGCAAAATCATGACCTGAGCCAAAACCAAGAGTTGGTCGCTTAACCAAGTGAGCCACTCAGGTGCCCCATGAATTTTAATTTTTATGTGGAGCAACCAATGGGCCCTTTAGGAGTGGAAGACTTGGTGCTACAAGGAACTCTTGAAACACAGGCTCCAGCCACAAAAACTCCACAAACCCACTTACCAACCTGTACGTCCTTTGCACCCTTTTATCTGCATCTGTTGCAGGAGGGCCCCCCAATGCCCAAACCCATTCTCCTCATAGCAGTTCTGAGGAAGAACGTGATGAGGCAAAGGGGAGGGGTGAGAGAGCCAAATTCCCTAAGAGGCTGTTTCAGAGGGAAGAAAAATATCTTAATGTATTTACGGTCAACTGATGTGCAAACAAGGATGCCAACAACCCACAATGGGGCAACGAATAGTCTCTTCAACAAAAGGTGCCGGGAAAATTGGATGTCCATCCCTATGCAGAAGTTGAAAGTGGACTTTTATCTCACATCACACTTAAAAATCAACTAAAAAATGTGTCAACAACTTAAGTGTAAAACCTGAAACCTAGAAGAAAACAGGGGAAAGTTTCTTGACATTGGCCTATGGAATGTTTTTTTAGTTTGACCCCAACAGCATGGGGAGGCAGGAGGGAACAAAGCTAAAATGGGCAAGCGTGACCACATCAAACTACAAGGGACAAACTTCTTTCTGCACAGCAGAAGAAGCCATCAAGAGTGAAAAGACAATCTATGCAATGGGAGAAAATATTTGCAAACTATGTATCTGAAAGGATGTTAATATTCAAAATATATACAGAACTGGGTGATGGGTATTGAGGAGGGCACCTTTTGGGATGAGCACTGGGTGTTGTATGGAAACTAATTTGACAATAAATTTCATATATAAATAAAAACAAACAAAAAAATAATCTTATAAAAAAAATAAAATAACACAGTTTTTACAGCAAAAAAAAAAAGTCTCTTGAATGAACATTTTATTGGCACATTTTATTTTTCAAGGGTGACTAGTATATCTAGCACTATGATGGATATTCAATAAATGCACATCAACGTGCAGGAAGCAATATGGCAAAATGAAGAAGTCATTGACTGAGAATCCTGAGACCACAGTTCAAGTTCCACCTGTACTGCTAATGCACTATAGAATCTTCCATGAATCACTGGGCTTTAATTTTCTCTTTTGATGTCAATCACCTCTTAAATAACATGCATGTCTTTATAAATAAAAAACCTATCACAAAAAAAAAAAAAAAAAAATATATATATATATATATATATACACAGAACTCAACATGCCAAGGGAAACTTCCTCAACTCAATAAAGAACAGCTACAAAATTACCGTACAGCAAACATCAATTTTAAGGGTGAAAGAGTGAATAGTTCTCCCACAGACTGGAGATAAGGGGGTCCTCTGTTCCCACTGCTAGTCAACGTACTGTAAGTTAGAGCCAATGAAATAAGGAAAGAAAAGTGATGTAGACCAGAAAGGAAGGTTTAATAATGTACCCATCAACAGAAGGTATTGCAGTTGCAGTAAGATGAATGCCTCCCCACGCCTCTCACCCCCCACCAAAAGGATAGCCCTCATCCCTATAACCCGTGAGGGTTACATTCTATGTCAAAACAGAGTTTGCAAAAAGAGTTTGTCCTTGTGCCCTAGTTAAGGATCCTGAGATGCAAGATGATCCTAGATTACCTGGCAAACATGATATAATCAGGAGGGTGTGATAAGGATATAAGTGGAGTTGGAGACAGAGAAGTCATTGCTCTGATAGAAGCAGGATGGGGACAGATGTTAAGATGTTACCTTAGAGGAAGTGGGCTATCAGGCAAGGCAATTAAGCAGTCTCCAGAACTTGGAAAGTGCAAGGAAACAAATTCCTCCCTGGAATATCAAGAAGGCTAACAGTGCTGTGGATCCATTCTAGACACCTTATGTTGAGAAGTAAAAGAGAATAAATTTTATTGTTTTAATTCACTTAGTTTGGGGTAACTTTTTACAGCCACATTAGGAAGCTAGCGAAATGGTGTACACAGAAAAGCCCAAAGAGGGACTCCTGGGTGGCTCAGTGGGTTAGGCGTCTGACTTGGGCTCAGGTCATGATCTGGCGGTTTGTGAGTTCGAGTCCCACATCAGGCTCTGTGCTGACAGCTCAGAGCCTGAAGCCTGCTTCAGATTCTATGTCTCCCTCTCTCTCTGCCCCTCCCCTGGTCATGCTCTGTCTTTGTCTCAAAAATGAACAAACATTTAAAAAAAAAAAAAAAGAAAGAAAAAAGCCCAGAGAAGCTACAAATCTCTAAAGTGAGATTAGTAAATTCTTTTTTTTTAAGTTCATTTATTTACTTTTTTAGTAATTTCTATACCCAAAGTGGGGCTCAAACTCATGCCCTGGAGATCAAGAGTTGCATGCTCTTTAACTGAGCCAGCCAGGCGCCCTGTAAGATTAGTAAATTCTAGATATTCAAGATCGACATTAAAAAAATCTATATTACTTCAATGCAGTAGCAGTTAACACATGGAAACTGAAATTAAAAATACAATTATATGTACAATTGCTCAAAAAGGAAAAAGTACAAACATATGTTAATCTAACAAAAACATTAACAGGATTTTGATGCTAAAATCTATAAAAGTTTACACAAATAGAGACCTACCACAGCCATTTACTGGAAGATACAACATAGAAATGATGTCAAACGATTACAAATTGATAGACAGATTAATGTAATTTCTATCAAGGTATTTTCTACAATACAAACAAGATTCTTCTAAAATTTATAAAGAAAGGCAAAGGAACTAGAATAGCTAGAGCATCTGAAAAAGAATAAAGTGGTCAGAATCTTCATGCAAGATTTCTAATATAGTAAAAAGTAATCAAAACTACATTGTATTCGTGGAGTGAGACACAAATAAATCAATGGAAAAGAACAGAGAACCCAGAAATGGCCCCACACAAGTACTTCCAATTGAGCTCGGACAAAGGTAACAAGGAAACTAAGAGAATTTAAAAAAAACAAAAAAACTCCACAAAAACTTCATACCTGTACTAATATTAGCTCAAAAATGATCATAGCTTTAAATGTGAAATGTAAAACAATAATACTTTAAACCAGAAAAGATTCCATAGAACATTATCCTCAGTATCCATATACCTTTGCTCTATCTCTGTGTTATCTATCTTCCCATCTGGTGTTTTAACACATTTTGACTTTATTCTGTGGTATTTTGAAAAAAAACAATTATCCTGTGGTGTGTACTATTTCGGTATCTCACTTTAGAGAACTTGAGATTTCATTATTTTATTCCCCATAGAAACTCTCTGAGGGCGCCTGGGTGGCTCAGTCGGTTGAGCGTCCGACTTCGGCTCAGGTCACGGTCTTGCGGTCCGTGGGTTCGAGCCCCGCGTCGGGCTCTGTGCTGACAGCTCAGTGCCTGGAGCCTGCTTCAGATTCCGTGTCTCCCTTTCGCTCTGCTCCTCCCCCACTCACGCTCTGTCATCAAAGACATCAAAGGCAGGATGTTTGAAAAAAAGCCCTCTCAGATTCATTACATTTGTAAGCCTGCTCTCCGGTGTGGGCCCTGTGATGTTCTGTAGTTTTGATCCATGGGTAGAAGCCTTAGCATGCACATTACATTAATGTGGTCTTATCAGAGATGTAGATCCCGATGTCTAGTGAGTTGCGAAGCCTGTGTAAGTCCTCTGCCGCACACGTTCCATTTATGTGATTTCTCTTTAGTGTGGGCTCTCTGATGCCGATTCATGCTTGAACTTCAAATCAAATGCGTTGTCACACTCCCTACGTTCGTCAGATTACTCCCCGGTATGAACTCTCTGATGGCTTACAAGGCTGGAATTCTGAGTGAAGACCTTGCCACAATGACTACATTTATAAGGTTTCTCTCCAGTATGGATCATCTGGTGTCTAGTGAGGTTGGAGCGTTGAATGAACGATCTGCCACACTGATCACACTGGTAAGGTTTCTCTCCAGTATGAATTCTTCGATGACTAGGCAGGCTTGAACTCTGACTGAAGACCTTGCCGCATTCATTACATTTGTAAGGTTTCTCTCTAGTATGGATCACCTGATGGTAAGTAAGGCTCGACAGCATAGTGAAGGCTCTGCCACACTCATGGCACTGGTAAGGCTTCTCTCCAGAATGAGTCCTGCGATGACGCGCGAGGTGTGAATCGTAACTGAAGACCTTCCCGCATTCGTCACACTTGTAATGTTTCTCTCCCGTGTGGATTATTTGATGTCTAGTGAGATGTGAGCTCTGATTAAAGGCTTTGCCACACTCGTTACATTTGTAGGGTTTCACACCGGTATGGATTACCTGGTGGTTAGTGAGCTGTGAGCCATAGGTAAAGGCTTTGCCACATTCGTTGCACTTGTAAGGCTTCTCTCCCGTGTGAATTCTTCGGTGACTCACCAGGCCTGAGCTCTGACTGAAGACCTTGCCACACTCATTACACTTGTAAGGCTTCTCTCCCGTATGGATCACCTGATGGCTCGTAAGACCTGAACACTCACTGAAGGCCCTGCCACACTCATTGCAGTGGTAAGGTTTCTCTCCGGTGTGAATTCTGTGATGACGTACGAGGTGCGAGTTGCGACTGAAGACCTTCCCACATATGTCACATTTATACGGTTTCTCTCCTGTCTGGATTACCTGACGTCTAGTGGGGTGGAGACCGGGATTCACTGCTTTGTCACACTCCTCACGTGTGTAAGGTTCTTCCCTGATGCGCGCTTTCTGGTCTTGTGTGAGTAATGAAGAACGCAAGGGATCATTCCCACGTTCGTTAGAGATGTTGGTCGGGACTCTTGGAAGAATTGTGTGAAGTAGTGAAACTGAGGCACTATCGTTGACAGACCTCGCCACTTGGTGACATTCGTAAATTTCCCCTTCAGTCTGAAGTATCTGCACGCCAGCCAGACATGACTGAAAGCTTAGTCCAGACCTGTTTTCAATCGGCTCATTTCCTGCGTCTCTTCTACCAGTCAGGTTTTTGTTAAGGGTCACGAGCACACCTTCATAATTTCTTTCACCGTCTCTCCGCTGACACTCAGAGTCATGAAAACTTTTCTGGATTTCTCTGAAGCCACAATCTTCGGCGTCACGGCTTTCATGTCTTTCCAATATAACTGTCTGCAATACTTCCCCTGTATTACTGTTTTCTTTTGGTGGTAGTTCCTTGATCACACATTTGGGAGAGAGAGCTACGAGATATAAAGAACCATAGGTTTCCAATTAATTACAGAAAAATCTCATATTGAAAAACATATTACACCAAAAGTACTACATATATTGATCAGTTATAAAATGTTGCAACCATGACTTTCAATTTTTAGGAACACAAAAGGTACAGGATTCTTTAATATAAAAGGGTAATTACATGTAATTCAAATTGATTTTAAAGCCTACTTTAAATAGTCAATGTTGGGGCACCTGGGTGGCCTAGTCGGTTAAGTGTCCGACTTCAGCTCAGGTCATGATCTTGCAGTCCGTGGGTTTGAGCACCGCATCGGGCTCTGCGATGACAGCTCAGAGCCCAGAGCCTGCTTCGGACTCTGTGTCTCCCTCTCTCTTTGCCCCTCCCCCCACTCATGCTCTGTCTCTCTCCATCTCTCAAAAATGAACAAACATTAAAAAAAAAAATTAAATAATCAATGGCAAAAAAAAAAAATCACAGTATGCAAACTTACGTTAGCCCTGAAAAGAGGGGGATTTTCTCATCATGTTCGGAAATGGCACGCCATTACCTGCCAATTTTTCACAGAAAATATATGGTTGTTTCACGTTTGAAGAGATAAAAGTACTGTCCATATTTACTGCATCTTTATTGGGCACTAATTCTAAAGCACAGCATGATATACTCTAATGGTAAATAATCCAGAACAAACTTATCTAATGAGTAATCTAAATTTTTTTTAACATTTATTTATTTTTGAGAGATGAGAGAGACAGAGCACGAGCGGGGAGGGGCAGAGAGAGAGACAGACACAGAATCTGAAGCAGGCTCCAGGCTCCGAGCTGTCAGCACAGAGCCTGACATGGGGCTCAAACCCACGAACACTGAGATCATGACCTGAGCCGAAGTCGGATGCTTAACCGACTGAGCCACCGAGGCGCGCTATCTAAATAAATGGCAATTTAGAATTGGAAAACTATAGTAGCACTGGGGAAATGAGGGAGAATTTAATCAATGTTCTAAAAATATTTTTCTGAATACCAGTCATGTAACTACATTCCCTCAGAATGGCCATTTTTAACAAGCAGTATAAGTCGGCGATGCTGCACTGTGCATTACCAAAAAACCATCATCTGTAAGTCATAACGACAGTTAATAAAACATTCTAGTAACCTAGAGTAAAAGCAGGACTGAAATAATAAGCAACCACAATGATACAAAATTATAGTTTGTGGAATTCTCAACAAATCTCTCTTGAGAGAAAACAAAAAAAAAAAAAAGCAAGGGCTTCTGTTCCAGAACCAGCATACAATATGAAAACTGGAATTTATGTTAAGACCACTCATTTTTGAAGTATCCAGTCAGGGACATACTTAACATAATTGGGAAGAGAAGTCAGAAATCACAATTATGATTTTTTTTTTTTTAAGTTATCTCTATGCCCAACAGGGAGTTCAAACTCACAACCTCGAGGTCAAGAGTCACATGCTCTACTGACTGCACCAGGCAGGCACCCCATAAATCACAATTATGAGTTTCGGCCTGCACTTATGTAACAGCTAATCAATTCCCTGTCTATGTAGTATTCTTTAATTTTTTAGTTCACTGGCCAGAAAGTATATGTAATAATGAGTTTGTGCGTGAAAATCTTATTAATGAAGGCCAGATCAAACAATGTTTGGACAGAATTGTAGAATAAAAACATACAAAATATAGTGCAGGCTGCATGGCCTGAATGTTTGTGTCCACCCCAATATGATGGGGTTGGAGGTGGTGTCTTTGGCAGGTAACCAGGTCATGACGGTGCAGGGTCGCGAATGGGATTAGGGCCGTTACAAGAAGAGATATGAGAGCTTGCTGCCTTACTCTTTCCATCATGCAAGGACACGGCAAGAAGGCAGTGCTCTAAACCAGAAGAAGGCTCATCAGGAACTGAACTGACTAGCACCAAGATCTTGGACTTGCCAGATTCCGGAACTATGAGAAATAAATTTCTATTAGTTAAGCCATCTGGTTTTGGTACTTGCTATGGCAGGCTGAGCCAAGGCACAGACAAAAGACCATCTGATCAAAATCATGACAGAAGGTTGCCGTATCTTACAAAAGTCAAGGAATTTCTGAGACTTTACTATAAAACACGGAATAGCTTTACAAATCAAAACCACAATGAGATACCACCCTACACCTGTCAGAATGGCTAACATTAACAACTCAGGCAACAACAGATGTTGGCGAGGATGCGGAGAAAGAGGATCTCTTTTGCACTGTTGGTGGCAATGCAGGCTGGTGCAGCCACTCTGGAAAACAGTATGGTGGTTCCTCGTAAAATTGAAAATAGAACTACCCTACGACCCAGCAATTGCACTACTAGGCATTTATCCACAGGATACAGATGTGCTGTTTCGAAGGGACACATGCACCCCCATGTTTATAGCAGCACTATCAACAATAGCCAAAGCATGGAAAGAGCCCAAATGTCCATCGATGGATGAATGGATAAAGATGTGGTGTATGTATACACACACACACACAATGGAGTATTACTCAACAATCAAAAGGAATGAAATCTTGCCATTTGCAACTACGTGGATGGAACTGGAGGGTATTATGCTAAGTGAAATTAGTCAGAGAAAGACAAAAATCATATGCCTTCACTCATAGCAAGACTTTAAGAGACAAAACAAATGAACCTAAGGGAAGGGAAACAAAATAATATAAAAACAGGGAGGGGGACAAAACAGAAGAGACTCATAAATATGGAGAACAAACTGAGGGTTACGGGAGGGGCTGTGGGAGAGGGAATGGGATAAATGGGTAAGGGGCATTAAGGAATGTACTCCTGAAATCATTGTTTCACTATATGCTAACTAATTTGGATGTAAATTTTAAAAAATTAAAAATTAAATAAAAAAAAAATAAAACACGGAATATCTTAAGCCTTCTAATAGCGCTGACATGGCTAAAAGCCTTGAAGTACATCACCACCACTTTTTAAACAGGGACAGTAGGCACATGGGGTTTGTGTTTCTAACCCTTATTCATAGAGAAAGTAAGTATGAGAAACAGGATTTGACCTGGGCCTGCGGGTTCAGACAAAGTGTGCTCATGCATAAACGCCTGCAAATCACAGTCAAGATCAGAAGCTTCAACATAAACACGTTGAGGGAGACACCAGAGCTGTGTTGTGCTAACAGTGTTACCTAGCCACCCCGAGTACCCTGTCACCCCCGCAATAAGGATTTCTGTAATGTCCTGAAACAGCGATACAGTGGATAAGCAGGGATCTTTCTTAACGTGGTAAGTAGTGTGGCTGGTGAGGGGGGCCTGCGGGAATCAGGGTGTTCAAGTTCTACACAATTCATAAGCTAGTAAGGAACGGTGTGGTCTATCCAGATCGAGGTACCGTGTGAGGGAAGGCCAGAAAGAAGGAAGGTCAGGAGCGGAGGGCAGGAGGTAATGAGCACATGAGAGAAGCGATGGTATTTGCCAATCCACGGAGGGGTAAATGTGCCAGGGCAGTCAGAATTCCAACCTTGGGAAAAAAGAAGGGACTGACATGGCAAACACCATCATGCTGTCCCACGATGGAATTATAGGAATTAACTGTAGGAATTATAGTGTGGGTGTGTGGCCAAAATGTAAGACGGGTAATAGGGAGGGAGTGTGGAGACCAGGCAAGAAGCCATGCTTAGAAAACAGAGTAGGATGGGTGGCTGCCGAGGGGGGAGGCATAGGGGACATGGGGTAAGGTTGGTAAAAGGGGACAAAATTTCAGCCACGTGGTGAACAAGGTCCGCGGAGCTAACGTACCACATGGTGACTACAGTCGGTAATATCGTATAATTGAAATTTGCTAAGAGAATAGAACTTAAGTGTCCTCACCAAAAAATTTTTTAAAAAGTAAGTATGTGACGTAACGTGTGTTAATTAACTTGATTATGGAAATCCTTTCACAATGTATATGGATGTCAAATCACTACAGGGTACCCTTTTAAAATATTACAATTTTCTTTGCCAGTTACACCTCAGTAGAGCTAAAAAACAAAAAATTCATCCTCTGACTGCCTCCTCTGAATGCTTACAGAACAGTTTACACGAGGATCTCAGTCTCTTGTAAGAACCAGTGAATCAACAGCACAGGGGGAGAAAAAAAAGGAATTGGGTATTTTAAGCTTTTCATAAGGTTTTACGCATACTTAAGTTCTGGCAGCATGCCTGATTAAGTGTGCAAATCATCTGACAAAAGCGTAAGTGTGAAGTCCAGATGCCACGTCATGAGGCTTTTCGTATCTGAGGCCAACAGGGCTTCAATCTCAGCAAGTAAGACCGGGGCTCCAAGGGGGAGAATGCAGACACACAAGGGCAGATCTCCACTTCTGGAGGGAAGTTATCCTCACCCAGGGAGACCAGGTTCCTGTAGTTCTCCAGCATCACGTCCCTGTACAAGGCCCTCTGAGCGGGGTCCAGGCACTCCCACTCCTCCTGAGAGAACTCTATGGCCACATCCCTGAAGGTCAACCATCCCTGAAATGAGAACACATTTCACCAAGGAGCTACGGGGAGAGTTATCTGCACACAAAACAGGAAGACGAGAAATGTGTAAGGATCAATTCAGATGAAGTAGGTTTTCTTACAGATCTATGTAAGGTATTTCTGAGCAAGTTATGTGTCCCCAATTTTGGCTTATTACACGTTCCCATAAGAGGTTAGGATGGCCTCTAAATTAATATGGCTTTTTTCATTTTTGTGGACAATATAAGAAATATAAAAACAGAAAATCAGGGGTGCCCGTTGGGAGCATGCGACTCTTGATTTTGGGGTTGTGAGTTTGAGCCCCACGTTGGGTGCAGAGATTACTAAAAAAAAAAAATAATATTATTATTAATAATAATAAACTTAAAAAAAAAATAGGGCGCCTGGATGGCTCAGTTGGTTAAACACCAGGCTTCAGCTCAGGTCATGATCTTGTAGTTCATGAGTTCGAACCCCACGTCGGGCTATGTGCTGACAGCTCAGAGCCTGGAGCCTCCTTTGGATTCTGTGTCTCCCTCTCTGTTCCTCCCCCATTTGTGCCCTCCCTCCCTCCCTCTCTCTCTCTCAAAAATAAATAAAGATTAAAAATTTTTTTAAAAAAATAGAAAATCAATACAAGGTTATCTAGAAGTGTTATCCATCATGTTGTGATATCTATCAATGTCACAATGAGTGATATTCAATATCTAGATGAGCAAAGGCATGAGTGTTATCTTCAGAGAAGACAACACCCATGATGGCTTTAGAGGAAGGCCACGGTGAGTAAAGGCTCTTGAAGACTTCCCACGTGCTAGCCATCATGCTAAATGCTTTCCACACACTAACTCCCATTGACATTGACATCACTCATCATAGACAGATCTGTTCCCATCTTACCGAGGAGACAACTGTGTCACACACATTCCCCGAAGCCTGCCCAAGGTCAAATGCTCTAAGAAATGGCAGAAAAAGCTCCAGAACCCAGATATTTAGGCTTTGGAACTGAACCTAAACAACGAAACATATATACCAGATAGCATGAAAAGAATGTTGAGAGGGGGATTCCTGAAACAATTAGAGACAAGTTTAAGGCTAACAGCATGGTCATTGTATCTGTCCATGCACACGCACACGCACAAAAATGTCACTCTTGTGCTATTTAACTCATTAATGTGATAGTGTAGAAAACATGTAAAGCCATGCAAATACTGAAGATTTAACTTCAAAAATTCTTAAACAACTTATTTATGAAGTAATGATAATGTCTGTAAATACTACAGGCTTGTGCGTCCTGGCACACGCACACGTACACACACACACACACACACACACACACACACACACACACACAC